TACAGTGTTGCATGACCGAGTACTTGTCGGTCAAAGTATCACAGCACTGAAAACTGAAAAAGGGCCTGGTAATGAAGGGCTAAATAACTCAAATGGTTAAAGCTTTCGGAAGTGACCTCTCAGCCCATCCAATTATATGTAATTTTAGCATCCATTAAGCATTCCTTATATCACAGCTTTATGAATCCAGGGCCAAGGATTTTACCTCAAGATCATCTCTAAGTATGCTGCATTGGATTCATTTTTACATTACATATACACTACCCTACAATGAAGTGTGTATATAAACATGTTTCTTAAATAATGTATGTGTATTTATACCTGCCAACAAAAGGAATGATACATTCTAGCTGTATTATTTGGTTAGATATGACATCATGTATGCCTATCCTTTTTATATGTTTTAGATCTTTTGGCTTTTTTATATGCTACTTTTTTAAATAAGCATATTTTTATATTTTAATATTAACAGTGTGATATTTCTATGCTACTTAGGCTATTTACAATGTCTCCATTTACAAGAGCTAGAAGTGTTGGTTACTGCCCGAGTATAACAGCAGTATGCATATGTAATAGTGTGGTCTCTTACATGTAATGGTCTGTTCATTTTTATTCCAGACCTATATTGGAAATATTCTGCTACTGGTTAACCCATACAAAAATCTCCCCATCTACTCATCCATGGTAAGCCCTAACGTCTGTATACCTGTGTGCTATGTTAATATTTTGCCAAATTACATCACATTTTTACTAAGTTTAACTTTGCCAAAGGGGTACATCCCTTTATTCCTGTGTTCTTGATGTTTTTTTATCTAGAAGATTTTTTATTTTACTCTTGTTATTGTCTGGTATAAATAATAAAGTGGATGAATACTTTATTTGCTATATGAATAAGAACAGACAGCTACAGTATAAGGATATTGTCAAGTCATCACATGCACAATGAAATAGTGGTTCCTTTCTTCTATATTGCATATATTTTCTAAAATGTTGAAAAATTCCAGCAAACAATGAAGAGTGGTTACTGCCAATATAACTGCCCATATAACCTATATATGTTTATCCTCAGAACTGTCTCTTATTTAGAGGAACTGTCCCTTATTTAGAATCAAATTCCTCTGTCCTCTTCCCTCCTTAGCTGCCCCTCTTTTTAGTCTGATGTACTGTTATATAGGAAAAGGTTCCATTTGATTACCAAAAGTGTTATTATGCACTAAAACCTTTATCTAATCTCTTAAGTATCTTGTAATTTTGTAAAGCCAGAATAAAGGAAAAGTAATAGTGAAAAAAGCAACTCTAAATTTAAGCAATCATTTTTCTTAATGCATTCTTAAAGCAGAACTCCAGGTAAATATGTTATTGGCTTCCATATCCCATACGGTGCAGTGTACGGCGAACAGTGCGTTCAGAGATCATTTGAGAGGATCCCTGATTAAGATCTGCAGTAATTTGATGCACTGTTGCCCTTCTGTTGTCTTGTACCAGTCTTGCCACTCTCCGTTCTCCCCTAACATTGACTAGTCGCTGACGGCCACAAATCGTACGTCCAGACCCAGATTTTCGGCTGACAGTCCAGTCTTTAAACACTTTAAGAACAGCTGCTCTTGTACATTTAACGAATTCTGCTGTTTTGCTGATACTCGCTCCATGGCTCCGAGCGCCAACAGTCATCCCACGTTCAAAGGCTTTTAAATCGCGTTGTTTACCCATATCTTCAGAAAAAAATCACTTCTACTGCCGTGGTAAACAACCTGCTTCCCTATTTTTAATGGTCTGGCCCTCTAGCAACTTAAGCGCAAAATTATAGCGAATTTGCCTACAAACGTCAGGTGGTCATAATAATCTGGCCACTCAGTGTATATTATAATTTACAATGCATGAATATAAGTTAAGTGAAGCTACATGTGTCAGTATAAGGAGCTGTTGGATAAGAGGTTTAGGGATGTTTATTTTTATTTAATACAATAAATCAACTACTATGATTTATTAAAGTGCTGTCAGTCAGACATAAATTCCCTTACAACTACTACCAATTAGGATGTGCTTCATATTCAGCTATATGTCAGTGCCTGAGCATTCTTCTTTATATTATTCATTTATATTGCACATAGATCATCTGCTGCACTATACAAAGAGAGGACATAAAAGGACTATAGCAATAATAAACCAAGACTAGTAAAGCTAAGGAAAAATTCACTTGCAAAGTGCAAATTCCTTTACAAAATGAGCATCCAAAATGCCTTTAGTAGATCAACCCTGATGGATGGAAACACTGCCTAAACACACTTACTGGGGTTGATTTACTAAAGGCAAATAGGTGGTTCACTTTGAAAGGGAATTTTCACTTTGCAAGGGAAGTTTACGCTTAAGGTGGCCATACACTCTACAACCATCGCAAGACCTTAGTCTTGCGATGGTTGTACAGGGATTAAAAAAACGTACGATCTGCCTATCTTGGACAGGCAGATCGCACTCTCGATCATCGCAAGCCCGCCCCCCTGAGGGGCGGGCTTCCGATGACCGCAATGCTGAACGGGCAGTGTGCGCGTGCGCACACCTGCCCGTTCGGCATTTGTCTTCCGAGCACCGTTCTAACCAGCCGAGAATCGTACGATTCCCGGCTGGTTTTCGAACATGCTGGTTCGACGGAAGACGTGCGACCGTACAGTAGAAACGGTCGCACGTCTCCGTTCACACTGCTCGATTCTCGTACGATCGCGGGATTTCCCGCGATTCTCGTATGAGAAACGAGCAGTGTATGGGCACCTTTAGCTTAGTGAATGAGGTGCACTCTGCTGAACTCCATCATTAAATCCAGTGCAAGTAAAAATACAGTTTTTTGTCATATTCTGAATATGGAATATTTTAGAGCCCTGGCAGAACATAATGGTTTATATTTTCTCTTTTAAAGGACAACTGTACCTTTTAGTACAGGTTGTCCTTTAAAGCATGGTGATTAGGGAAGCAGGATGTGACCTGATAATTGACAGGTGCAGAATTTTCAGCAAACACTGTAAAACAGGTTTATGTCACACTGTAATAAGTTGTAAAATGTATTGTTTTTTTCTTACAACGTTGATCTATATTAATCTCTTGATTTTATTTGCATTTTGCCTTCATGACTTCTTTAAATTTAAAGTGACGGTACACTCAGGAGTTAAATCTTAAAAATGCATTCAAGTACCCTAACTATTAACAAAAATATATCTTATTTGTGTATCACTCGGTTCTAGATCCTCAAATCATCTCTGAATTGGTGCTGAGACTGTCCTTCCTTCTGGAGGGTGGCTACATTTGTTCCCCATGGTCACTGTGCGTGTTGTAAAGTAGCCACCACTCCAAGATCACTCCCATGATGGACTAAAATCTCAATACAAATTAGTAATCTAAACATGAGATTGTAGTCCATCACAGGAGCGAGCTTCGAGTGGTGGCTACTTTACAACACACACAGGGACCATAGTGAACAAACATAGCCAGAAGGAAGGTCAGTGTCAGCACAAATACAGAGATGATTTGAGAATCTACAGCCGAGTGATACACACATAAGATACATTTTTGTTGTTAATAGTTAAGGTACTTGAATTCATTTTTAAGATTTAACTCCTGAGTTTACTGTCACTTGAAGCTCCCCTTATGAAAGTTATGAAGCAGAATCTTGGAGATTGAAAATAAAACACAATAACAAACAAGCTTTATTTTCCATAATTTTAGGTTACACAGTTGTATCATAACGTCTCTGGCCGTTTATGCTCTTCCCTTCCTCCTCACATATTTGCGTGTTCGGAGCGAGCTTACCATATGGTTTTCCAAGAGAGGAGACCGCAGTGCTTTATCTTAAGGTACCGTCTGCTTGGTATTAGCATATTTAATTTCTGTGTGCACTGAAAGGGATTGTTTTGGACAATGTGCATTCATTATCACCAATGCCTTGTTATAGCAGAATGATAACAGAAATAGTAAGAAAGAAAGGTGTGTGGGTGGTTTGCTTGCTAATGCAGTAAATCAGAATAATCAGCAGTGTTTGTACTGTTGTAGCTTGTTAATACATACATTTTATTTTTATAGTTTACAATTTAAGCTTGACACTTACAATATCATAAAATTACTCTGGCAAAGCAATTCCAGATTGTGCTCAGAATTTAGGTACGTGTAATGCTTTGTTGATGAACTCTTTGTGTTCCTCCTGCATAATTAACTGAATATTATGGAACTGACTTTATAAAGGGTGATTATAGCTGGCCATATGTTTAGATGCTCCTTCATAGAGACACCTATTTGCATAGACTCTTATACTGTGAGTGTAGCATGTACTGTGACTGCTATGGTTATCTCTGCACTGTTAAAGGAGAACACAGAAAAAAAATCCATTACAGCTCTAATGGAAAGGTACAGTATGCAGAAGTTACACCCTGCAGCCTTTGGTACAATATGCATTTCCCACTTATTCTCTTACATTTTTCATTTATAAAGCATCTTATGTGTATTGTTACTTAAAGTGTATCCAAACTCAAGAACAAAAATGTAATACATTACAGCTTTCCAGTTCTTAAATGTGGTGGTTGTATTAGTTTTCCTTTTTTCAGGCTCTATTTCCTTTTTCACCCCTGTGATTTTGCCAATTTCCTGCCTTGGTGTAATAATGCTCACTCATTGTATGGCGCACCCTAGAACAAGAACAGTTTTAGAACTACAGAACACTTATTTATTTATTATATGTATTACAGGTATTTATATAGCGCTGACAATTTTTATACAGTGATTTGCACACTTCCCCTCTCATCTACGCCACGTGATGCGAGGGAGTTGTTGTATAGTCTACATAGAGAGCTAGAAACAATGCTAAGTGATAACAGTGCAGCAGAATGTCAATACATAAATTAGACTAAAGAATGTCAGTAGATGTGGTGTATCTGAACTTTGCTAAAGCATTCGACACAGTACCCCACAAACGTTTAATCCATAACCTATAGGTCTAGATGAAATTGTATCTACATGGGTGGACAATTGGCTGCAAGAACGAACCCAGAGGGTAGTGATAAATGGGTCATTCACTAATTGGGCAAGGGTTAGGAGTGGGGTGCCCCAGGGTTCAGTCCTTGGGCCGATCCTGTTCATCTTATTCATCCATGACATAGAAATTGGTCTAAATAGCTCAATTTTGTATTTTTGTGGACGATACTAAACTATGCAGAGCAGTAAATTCATGGGCTACAAGATGGCAAATCCGATTTAATGTTGAAAAATGTAAGGGTAGGCACATGGGAGTAAAGGACATGTGCGCAAACAACTACTTGGGGGGTGCTACATTAAGGAAGTTAGAAATAGAAAAAGACCAGGGGGTCCTCATAGATCACAGATTTGGCAATAGTAAGCAATGTCAAGCAGCAGCCAGCAAAGCTAACAAGGTACTGGCGTGTATTAAAAACAGAATTGTAGCAAGGGATCAAAGAGCAATACTTCCACTTTATAAATCATTGGTTCGGCCCCATCTTGAGTATGCGGTACAGTTCGGGTCGCCAACTCTCAGGAGGGATGTCCTGGAACTGGAGAGATTTCAGAGAAGGGCTACAAAATTAATTTAAGGGGATTGAAGACCTGAGTTATGAAGACCGCATTCTGAATCTAAACTTATTGTTTAATCCTAAAACTGTATTGAGAACCCGGGGGCACAACAAGAGGTTAGACGAAAGGGGGTTCAATCTTTAAAATGTGCAAGGGGTATTTCACTGTGAGAGTAGTGAAAGTTTGGAATTCCCCCCACAGGCGGTGGTATCTGCTGATAACATTGATAAATTCAAGAAACTACTGGATGAGGTTCTCCTTTCACAGAATCTACAGGAATATGGGAAGTTGTAGAGTCAGATAAATACACACACTCACATACATAGGTTGAACTGGATGGACCTTGGTCTTTATTCAACCTTACATTGCTTTGTTAGAACTAGAGAGCACAGGAAGTTATTAACTTACAGATTTCTGGCTGAACCAACAGGGATTTTCTTGCATTTGTTAAACAGATACAACAAAACTCCTCTAACCCTTTTGCTGCCACTAATGTATGCCGTACATCGCTGGCAGTGGGCCCCTTTCAACAGACTGTCGTAGGAAGTAGCTATTGGAGTGCGATCTGTGCTCTAATAGCTTTTTTTGGAGTGAAAAGGTTGCACTAGGGGTCTAATGTCACCTTAAAGAGCACCTCTAGCCATTCTATGTATGTAACATTTGTTGTTCTATTGCACATAACTTGAATGCGGTCTGTAATGTTTTTCTATACTTTGTGTTTCATATGTTCAATGTCGTCATGTTTTCCTAAACTAATAAAAATCTTTGCAAGTAAAAAATAAAATAAAATTGGCCTGGACAGGAATGGGGTTTAAAACCCCGTGCTTCAAGTGGTTAATTAGTTTCAAATTTCAAACTTCCCTTAAAATGATGCTCAGAGTCAGTTTCATCTAATTTCTCTTCTCTTAATCCATAGTCACAAAATTATCTATTAACTGTGCTACAATTCCACTTTCTAGTTAGTAACTACATGCAATACTAAAAGGTTTCCTATTCGGGGAGATTTGGAATTCTACACCACATACCATATTATCACTTACTTTGACAACTTTCAAAGAGACTTCAGCCACTGATGAAGGTATCACATTGTAATGCTAGTCATTGTAACTTAGACCACATTGTAATTTTGGCAGAAAACAGACTTCTAATGTCTCAGTTTATATAAGAAAAAAAAGAGAATAAACTTACTGCATACTGCGAAATAGGATTGATGGGAGCGAGGATTGTCGTACTGCTTTAATATGTCGGTGTACTGTATAAAATTGTCATGCTGGAGATTAGTTCTTCCTTGTTCTCTTGTGGGGCCTCATGCAATTTTTATACTTTTCTCTACAATTCCCCATATAATTGCTGAGATAGCATGTCATTCATCCCTTGCTATACTAATATCTTATACATATTTACACTCCATTTATAGTCAAGCTGCTCTTTATTCAGAAAGTACTTTAGATTTTATTTACTCAGCCATCATTGACTTCATCAGCATAACGTCCCCTAGCGATTTGTGTATTTTCCAAGTGCCAGACTAAATATTGAAGGCAAAATTTACAAATACAGTAAACTGAATGCTTTGTATTGATATTATAAATATTATTATAAATAATGTACATAGCGCCATCAGCTTCCATGCACTGTGCGATGCGACTGATAGAATCAAGAATTATAATATGATCAAATACGTATGGAAAAACACACAAGATAGGAAAGATAAAGGGATGAGGGGTTAGTCTAGTGCATGCCAAACTCAGGTCCAAGGAGGGACCACAAAGGCAGTCACACCTTCATCCATGTGCTACTCTTTGACAGATGTAAATAGTAATTGGAAATGTTTAAAGAAGAACTCCAGGGGAATAAAATCTTAACCCTTTCAATGGGGCTACCACCACAATGCAAAGATTAAGTACTCGTTTTGCCTAGGGAGCTAAAATAGCAGAAATAAACTCAAATCATGATCCCAGCTGGATGCTAGGACATGAGGATGCCAAGGAACATTCTATCGCTGGAACAGAAGAGGAGACAAGCTGAAGTGACCGGTCTAACAGCCAGCCGGGATCATGAATTTGGGTGAGTTTATCTTTGTTATAAAAAACAAGCAGATAAGTCTCACAGTGTGGGAGTAGCCCCACTGCAAGCGTTAAACATTTTATTTGCCCAGAGCTCTCTTTTGAATGCAAACTTTTATTTACTAAAATTCACTGGCCAGCTACACCTTCTTTAGCTCAAATTTACTGTGCAGCACCCTCTTTAGGAACAGCAATACAGTTTCTATTGCTGCTAATAGCTACCATTTACAGACAGTATCAAAAAAAAATCATGCATCTTCTATTTGTGGTTAGAGAAGGTGGGGGTGCATTGTAAAGCAGGACTAGCAGCATCAGCTTCACTCACCCACATGCAGTAATCTCTCCTTCATCCATGCATGGGTTGCAGTGTAAATACCCCCTCTCTCTGTTGGCTGGCTTTTATACCTCTGCAATACATAGACTTGCTGATGAAGTAACAGAAATGCAGAGGGGAAGATACCAGCAAACAGAGTGGAGGAAATATTTCTTAGGATGGAGTCGTCAAAGGTCTGAGTCCACGTTGAAAGTGGTGCTGTATACAGCCTTCAGTAGACACCTTATCATAAACACCTTATCTACAGCCTGATAAAGGTCTCCTCTGCCTGCTAAAGGTGATGCTACTGCCCTAGGGGGATAATAATCAAGATCAAGTTGATGATTGTTCTGTTTAGGACAGTATTATTCACTTTTTTTGTTAGAATGGGTGAAAGCAATCGGTGATGAAAAAGAAAATCTTAAGCCAGATAATATGTGTGTTCAAAGAGGTGAAACTTTGAATGTTTGAAGCACTGACGGAACTACCAGGGTCGCAATGGTCGCTTGTGCAAACGCGCCCTGGAGTTCCACCACTGGGGGGGGGGCCAGAAAGGAAAAAAGAGAGCCCGGCCCCGGTAACTGCTAAGGCGCCAACATTGCATCCATGGTTTCTTGCACTGGGGCCCTGTTGTTTCTAGTTACTCCTCTGCTTTGAAGGGTTGTAGAGTGCTAGTTTGCACCTAGAAGGTTATTCCAGTACATAAGAAATGCACATTAGAAATCCTGAAGATGAGATTGTGAAGGGGGGTTATAACTGAGATGAGAAACCTGGCATGAGAGCAACGCTAGTGTAAATAAGTTAGAAATGAATGTTTAAACTGTATTGTTTATATAATTATGAACCAGTGGAACAACTTTCAGAAAAACGAGCACTTGAGAAGAAGACAGTCAGGTAATCAAATTGATTAGACTGAGAGGTGTAAATTATGACAAGTTCTGTTTATCCATATAAACTTTAGGAAAAGTGACATAAAAATAAGACAGTTGTCAGAGAAGCAGGAATGTAAAATTCAGAGCATCGAGTTAAATATAAGTATCTGCTGCATGAAAGTGATACTGGAATCCAGAAAAGCTGATAAGCTTACTAGTGGCGTAACCAGAGTTCTGGGCGCCGGGGGCAGAATTTTTGATGAAAGGAATCACGGCCGCGCCGGCAAAACGGCAGGAAAATTTCACTTTCGGCATTTAGCCGAAAGTGCCATTTTCGGCCGGCGCCCCCCCTTCACTTTTCGCCCGGGGCCCGCGCCCCTGCTGCACCCCCGGTTGTTACGCCACTGAAGCTTACCAAGAAGAGAAGACTAGTGGTCCAAGCACAGACGGTGTGGAAATGAGAGGCACTCAAGATCTTTCCAGAAAGGGATCTTTCTAGAAAGGGAAAGTTAGGAAAGCTTGCTTCCATGGGGGGATTGAAGATTGAAGGCACATGAAGAAGAATGCATATTGAGTAGTGGCTTTTAGATTTCAAAACCATTACATAACAACTTCATGGAGGGAAGTCTCAGTAAAAAAAATCCAGACTGAACATGATACAGCACAGAAGAAGTAGAATCATAGTTTCCAATTCCAATTGTAAATGTGATTTAGTGAGTTTGGATGAGAAAGAAACAGAAGAGACAGGACAGGAGTTGAAGGAAACTTAATGAGGCAGAGAGGGCTTTTCGAGTAATGATGCTATGACTGCAGGTCTGAAGAAGAAAGTTAAATTGCCAATGGAAAGAAATATGAGATGTTAGACAGGAATTAAAGAATAAAATGGTTGGATGGGTAATGGTGTGGGAAGGAATGGAACCAAAACTGCAAATAGATTGTGTTTCAAAATAAGGGATATACTTTTTTCTTCTTTTAAGGAAGTACAGCAAAATAGAAAGAAATATGTAGGAGGGGTCTATGTCTAATGTTGACAATGGTTTATTTAAATGTGTGGCAAAGTTTTTTGATGATAATTATACAGGAAAGAAGAAGGTAGAGGCTAAGGTTTAAATAGGGAGTTTAAGATAAACCTCCATAGGAGCAACATGTGAGACAATGTCAGAGGGCTCCAGCCCTGTTTCACTGAGGTCAGGGAATGTATAGTATCAAAATAATAAAAGGAGATGTAGATGTTGGTAAGTTTGTTACATCATTGGGAGACATTTCAGAGAGTCCATGGTGCAGGAGGAGGCAAATCAGAGGGAAGGTTGTTTTATGTGGATACATAGGTCATTGGTGTTCACTAGTGATTGGCGAATCTGCTTGGGTTTGATCCACAGGTGGGTTCAGCAAATGTGTCAAAAAGTTTACAACAGATGTCAATGAAAGGTGAATCCTCAAAATATACTCTCTCTATATTCAAGGATAATAGGCAATGGACTGTCAAACAAAGGGCATAGGTAGCTGGGCACTGCCAGGCAATACTGCTCAGTGGGGAGAGAGCTCCTCGCATGTTATGCAACTTCTAGAGTGACATGGGATAAACACCAATTCTTCAAATAACATGCTTCAGAGATGCCTCTGAACTACCTGCAGTGTGACAGAACAGCACGATTTTCCAGAACACTGTATTTTAGCATATTTGTATGAGTAATTTAATTTTTACATTTTACGTTATTCCTTGACTTACATAAATCAGCTGAATCCTATCCTATTAATTTTTATTGATTAATGTATCTTTTTAGGCATTTTTGCTGCGAGAAATTACCTTTTATCTATCAGTAATAGGCTAGAATTGAACAGGTGAAGTAGTAGACAGAACAGATCTAAAAGCTATCAGAGGGTTTTTACCTCTAAAAAAAGTAAGCTAAATTCCTAAACTTCCTAACATTTGTCAAACAGTGGCAAAGCAAGTTTTATAGCATAGCTTGTGTCTAAAATATTGTCAACACAGAGTGCACAAAAACTACAACCCCACATTCTAAAGAGGGAAAAAGGCAACTATTATGAAGATAAAATAAAAATTATAAAGCTTTTGGCAACAATAGCAAGACGCACATACAAGCACAAACATCTGTCGGGTGTGCTACATATCGCCCTGAACGTTGGAGTGAGAGCAATAGTTTTAGGGCCATCTATCACTGTTAACACTAAACTGAGCAGTAAAAGCTTTTAAAGCGTTACCTATGGGAAATTTGGGAATTGTGTTTTTTTGTGGTTTCATGGGCGAATGCAATTTTAAGACTTGCCATGTTTGGTATCTATTTAACCCCATCTTTTATATTTGACCAAAAACGTGGGTATTATATTCTGTTTCTGTGCAATAATTTTAAATTTAGGGTATTTTATCCTAAAAATACTGGTTTGATAAACATTTGCACAAATAAAAAAAAAAATGCAACTAACATTTTCAATTTTTGGGGGGTTTTAAGCTGTTTTCTAGTCAAAAAAGCAACGTGAAAGAAAAACAACAACAAAAAAAAGAAATAAAAGACCTAACAACAAAATAAAAAAAACTTAAATGTAAATGTGATCTATGCAGAAAAATGTGCCCACATTTGACAGCTGGGGACCAACTGTGGCACCTTCCTGGAGCAGCATAATACACCACAAACATTGAGGTAGAATGCAGGAATGACCCCGCAGAAAAATTTGCCATGGGTATTGTCTAATTTTAGCTGCTTTGGCAGTAGGGAAATGGAGGATGTGGTGCTTTTCAAATGATTTAGTGCAGTAAACTGGAGCACAAAAATATGCAGCGATTTGCTGCTAACAAAGGGCACCAACAAGTTCATGCTGGTGAACATCGAGAGTTCACAGCAAACCCTGCATATCCACAAACCCGAACCCCATCCCTAGTGTTAGCAGACATTACAGAGGCAGATGTTATAATTTGATATCAGTAGAGAAGTCTTCGGGGGCAACATTACCAGCAAAATTATGCTTAGTAATAAGGTATGGTGGGAAGTAGAATAAAATCTGATTTCACAAATAAGAGTTCTAAAGGGAAGGAGTAATAGAAGGATGCTGTTGAAGAGTTTGACAGCAAGGTCACTGGCGGAACTACCAGGGTTGCAGCGGTCGCAATTGCGACCGGACCCTGGCATTCCGCCTGTTGGGGG